TTCTCTTCCTCACCATGATCACATTGAAATGAAATGACTGACAATGAAAGAACTAACTCAAGGCTGTCTCTTCCTCCACATTCCTGCAGGACTAGTGTGGTATGACTGACTGACTGTTGGATTGGCTGACAGACAGACTGTGGTAAAATCTGAACTGACTTACAGTATGTTGGGGAAGGGCCAGAAAGCCATGTCTACTTAGCTGACATGGAAACACTCAAGAAGAGCACAAAGGAGCAAAGGAAGAGGCAGAAAAGAAGAAAGTGGATGTGAGAATGATAAAAACCCCACTTTATGTACTATGTGGATGCACTCATGCTTATAGCCTCAGCAGTATGCGAGCCTGTGTCATTTGTCGTGTTCACTGTTTTGTCACAGCTTTCCAGCCACAGATGTAGTGATGTGTTCACTGATTAGGTCATGGTTCCTGGCTCCTCATGACGAAGTATGGATTAGCTAGAATCTCATCTCTTCAGCTTGAGATCAAAAACATAACAGAGAGTCAGCATTATATAACAGAAGAGAGAAAATGTGAAAGACAAGATGACATTACAAGAGATCACAAGTTTGGGGTTGTTAATAAACATACTGTATATGTGGTTTGAGGGCTTGTTCAGTTTTAAGTTGTGCAAAGAAATCTTTTGGACTTTTTTACAAAATGATGTCAACCTGCCTGAAAATAAATATGGCCTATGAGCGCAACATCTTCTGGAACTCAGCTGTTTAAGTCAAAGGTGGCGTTAGCATGTGGCCGTGCAATTCACAGGGGCCAAACTGAACAAGAAGGAATTAAACGCGCTAGAAACAACAGTAGTCAAAGAGAGACCTTGTCAAAATTGTATCCCTGTGCCCATGGCCCTCGACCCCAATCATAAAACTCACAGACATAGAGGAAACCCACCAGTAAATCAGCCTGTCACTGGCTGTCACACACTGGGTTTGATCCCAGTGATATATCGCCTTAATATGTGGATGGAAAGATGGGGCAATTGGGAGGCAGAAAGGGAGAGAGAGAGAGAGAGAAAGAGAGAAACTGACTTTTGAGTTTGTGTGAAAGTATGTGTACAGTATGTGTCAGTGTGAGATTCATACATGTTTATACGTTTCATACCTTCTAATCTTTTTTGTTTTTGTAAAATAAATTCTATCTAGGAAACACAATATGTCTCCATACTGTAGTAGAAATATCCTACAACCCTCTGAATATCAAGAAACCTGAAGTGTGTACACCAGAGTGTTTTCTACATGTATCATATGTATGTCTGTAGTGGTTGAAATTTTGCAAGAAACACAAATAAATGTAATGTATAAATGTCTGTAAGTGTACTTGCTCTAATGGGCAAATTTACAAACACTGCATCTATGAGAGCTCAAAATGAAGTTAACCAAAACCATATTGTTCCAAAATAAAGACTATCACACTTAACTGTGTGAAATTCATTCATGTGAATGATGCAAAGAGTTTGACAGCAGTGGCAACTGAGTTCTTATTTAGGATCCTAATCTCATCATGTAATAGTGGAAGGGTTGAGGTGTGTGTGTGTGTGTGTGGGAGGGCCGTTTACCTCTGTTAAATTGATAGTAATGGACTGATAATTACTATAAATTGAGCTTAATGAATATAACATGCATTGCTACATGATGCCAATAAAGCTGAATTGATGTGGAGAGTTATGTAAATGGAGAGGCGAGAAGATAAGAGCAGAGGAGGAGCACAAAAGGTGGACAGAGGCCAGAAAGGGCAAGCAGAGCAAAACATAGTGGACTGAAAAGAAACAGAGGAAGGACAGGAAAGCGATGGGAAAAGGAGAACAGAGAGTGACAAAGAGAGGGAGGGATGACAGAGTGCTGACATCAGAGGGCCAGCAGTCGCTCCACATCACTCAGCTACCACGGAAAATCAATTCTCTCTGGTACAGGCAACGGTGTTAACAGCAGGCAGAACCAGCAGCTCTATAGCCTCGCTTCAGCCATTAATAGAGAGAGTGGCAATAGCACTGCCTCCTCAGAAATCATTACAATCATTCAAAGAGGGCTCTGGGCTGTGCTCCAGACTAGGTTTTCAGGGTTCGTGGAGGCCATTTGTGGAAATTTTTGGGGTAAACACAAACTATAATCAAATTGACTAATCTTCAATATAACCATAAAATACCTTCCAGTTTTCAATTTAAAGTTTTAAAGCTATTATTGTCTCCTTTTATGGCCAGAAATAATTATTGGGACATACTGTATATATTGCCCTGTAGAGCTGTTTTTGTAATGCTTATGCTTGACAAAATAAATACTTTTTATACATCTTTATTACATTTTCTTTAGTGATTTTATCTTCCTGCTACCCTAGAGCAAGTTAGTTAAAAAAATAAAAACAAAAGGACACAATCACAGTAGCAGCAGTTTGTTTTTTTGTTGTTGTTTTTTTTGCACTTGCGATGCCTCGATGACAACGATTTTGTCAGGGGTCTAGCTTGATCAAACCTTTACTTTCCACTTAAAAAGACAAATATGCCATATGTGATAGCTTCACTTTTCTCAGTGATGGCACCATTTGTTAAAGTGACAGAAGTGGTTTGAGCACCATAGTCCTGGGACCTGTGTGTGTGTGTGTGTGTGTGTGTGTACTGTTATTTTTCTGCATTTTACTTTAGTAATAAAATGATTGAAGAGTCAGGGTGTGTTTAGGTTCCACAGAGAGCACAGACAGTGCAAAAGCAGCAACCAATATCCATATGCCTTTACACTATATGTGTGCATGTGTACTGAACTGTGACAGCTCGGTGCTCCCTGAAGTTTACATGTAAGATTCTCTTTTTTTCCAGCAGTGCCTTGCTTTGTGTGCGTTTTTGCACATTCTGTACATTTCTTCCACAGTCTACTGTTACAGAAAGATAAGCATGGAGTGGAACTAAGAACTGATAAAGAGAATTAACACATGACATCCTGGCTCTTCATCAGTGAACTCTGAACCCAGAAAGTCAGTTTATAGGCATGTGATCCTCGCTGTAGGCCTCAGGGGTAGAATTGAACTGCGCCTTATGAGTTTACAACATGGCGTCAGGCCCTGCGAAGCAGCTGCACACAGCTGGATGCCAGTTTTTAACCAAAGAAAGAGAGGAGAGATAGAGGGATGTGGCCACAGAACTGGCTTCAAAGGGATGAAACATCACCAAATGGGGAGGAGACGATATGGGCTAAGCTCTCCCTTTTTCTCCCAAAATAAATAAATTAAGTGTATTTAGCTCTACTGAAGTGCCGTTTAATACAAACATCATAAAAAAGTGCCTAATCAGTTAAACATGTTTTTCAAAAATTGGGTAGAATTAGATAAAATCTTAGATGATATTTCAATATCTCATGCTATCTATAAATGAAAACAAGTACTGTTGATGCAAAGGGCAAAAATACAGTCCTGCAGTCATAATGCAGAGAACAGATGACATACAAAACTCAAAACAAAACAAAACAGCAACAAAACTAAACAAGGAAAAAAAATACAATCTTAAGTCAGCATAAATATATTTAATGAATAAGTCTTTAACTTGAATAACTGACAGTTATCGTTCTCACATCTAAGCCCATACCGAAACAGTGAGAACAGTCAAAACTCAGATAAAATAAAATAAAATAAAATTTTACAAAATGCCTTTTGATTGTACTGTATAAAGATGTACATAGTTAAAGGTGGGAAATGACTTTTACAGAACTTTTCACACATTTCCCTCCTCTTCTTTCTTCTTTGTTTCCTGATTTGAGGGGGGCAGTGTCCTGTTTTTTCTCTGTGCACATCTGCCTGTGAACATCTGGATAAAGTCAGCTTTTCAACACTGAGCAGAGCGACCATCACTCTTCCCCTTTGCTCATCTCCTCCAGTCAGCGAAAGGAGAGAAAGAGCAGATCTTCTACATTGAAATCACACAAGCTGTAACCATGCGTGCTGGAAACAAAATGCTGTATTAGACATGGCCAAGGGAAAATGAAGGTGGCAGCAGGGTTGAAGGGATTAGAAAGTGAGGCTGAGGCGGATACGGCGGGAACTTCAGAATCAGAATCTGCTTTATTGGCCAGGTGTGTCGGACACACGAGGAATTTGACTCTGGTACATCGGCTCTCAATGTGCATGTACATATCCCCATGCAAGGGGCAAGTAAAAAGTAATCCAGCATAAGGCTGTGTAATATAACAAAATAAGCAGTATTAACAAGCAACAAACAGTGCAAACAATTCAAAATAAGCAGTATAAACAGGCAGTAAACAATGCAGACAGTGGAATGCTCATTGTGAAATGGGATAAGTAGGAATAAAAATAGAGTACTTAGAAATAGAGACCTGTACAAATGTACTTAATAACAAATGTAGGAGGGTTTTTGGAAAAAGTGTAGTAGGTCCAGGGGTGAAGTCTTGTGACAAATCTATAGACAAAGCATTGATAATGGGGACTAATGTAAACCCTGAGATAACATTCAATCATGTTTTTAGATGTCCAAAGCCAACATTTTAAAAAAGTTATGTGCAGAAAATGATCATGGCTATGCAAATAAACTATGGTTAAAGTACAGCCTGAGTTAATTAAAAATCAAATTGAAGTTTCCTGTTATTCTTCCATTTTTTGTTTGCAATATTATTGTTTGGGTATGTTTTAAATGCATCAACATTTAAGCATGTCCAAATTTGTATGTTATTATGAAATCTGTCAATGCCACACACTAAAACCACTGGCCAGGTTATAACCACCAATAACCTGAAACACACCAATTAGTGAAAGTTGCTTGAAAATTAAGATACAGTAATCTAGATGTTTATATTCAACCAAAATATATGAGTTATATATTGTCCATGTTTTGCAGCCCTATTGCTGAATGTGAAATGATATCTGCAATATTAATGTTTGACATCCACTTGTGGTCTAATATTACTTTTAAGCTAATATTGTTTTTTTGGTCTGTGACATCATCATCTGATGAAACAAAAACACAGGACCAAGTCACTGTCAATTTTTTGGAAAATATTTTGTGAATATTTATTATAAAAAAATAAATGTTTCCACTACAAATCATTTTACATTAGTAGGTAGACAAGGTCATCTACATTTGCACACAGAAACTCTCACACAGACACATGGGTCAGTCTTTAGACAGGAAATGAATATGAATATAGGATGCATAACAGTATTGCTCTCTCAGATGTTCCATGTTTATAAAGAAAGTCAAAAACCAAAACACAATAGCACTGACATATAATTTCCTGTATGCTACAAAAAACGCGCAGTATAATGTTAACAAATAAATAATAATGTACTGATAATTGCCTTTTTTATTGTAAAAAAAGACAAAGCCGACAAGATAAAATATAATACAGATGATTTTTGTCCCATTATTAATTAGAAATGCTGCACAATTTGTATTTATTCTTTTATACGTACAAACATTTTTACAAAGAGGGATGGCCATGTACATATAGTGGGATCTGTAATGTGAGATGCTATCATTACGGTGGTTTACATTATGTACACGCTAATTAGGACACATAGCAGCAACAGCAGCATCCACAGGTAGGCCAAGTAACAGAGGACTGACTGACTGACACACTGAGCAGGGCTGGGTTTCCCAAAAGCACCAGTACCACCCCTGTCCATTAGATAAGATTAGTCTATAGCCAAGGCAATAGAATTTCTGTTCAAAGTGCTCAAATATTGTGTATTAAGTGCTTGGGCCATGCTTAAAGATGGCGTCATCATGGTTCAATATTCCCCATCCAACAGCACAAAGTACCAATGTGCCGGTTTTGAAATATTGGATATGTGTTTGGGTTTGGCTGGGAGACATCAAACCAAGAAGCATGCATCTTTAAGTATGCACAACATTGTACATCTAATTTCTAAGGTGCCTTTAGGAAATCCCAACCTATTTGGATGTTGTATAGTACACTCTGACAACAATCATTTATTGGAAGCATTTTGTTTAGGGCAGTGGTGCTAAATCCAATGCCCCTATGAGAACAACAACAAATTTCATTTGAAAACAAATTAAAACTGCAGCTTTTTGCTTGGTGATCCCACAATGAACTGACCCAACTCCAGGAGCCACTCTAACATTTTGTATTAAACACACCAAGAGGTACGAATTAAGAACAAATTTTAACAGTAGAATGCAGTCATTTAACAAGAAATTGCCAATCAAAGAAGAAAATGATCCCACATGGCTTTTGTTAATAAGTTATTGTACGAGACCAAAACAATTATAGATTTATAACACCGTCAGAGCAGTATCACTGATCTAAACTGTGTGAATGAAGAATATATCGCTCCCCTGGAAAGTGTACTGTACCTTGTGCTGTGTAGGACTGACAATGCTAACCAATCTTACCTGAAGAAGAAACTCAAGGACAAACACACTTCTAGTTTAAAACACTTCCACAACACAACAACATCTGAAGCAGAAACTTGAACGACTCTGCTTTATTATATTTAGGGTTTTTTGTCCTCCTATCAGTGTCCTTCTTGAAGCTTTTCCTATTTTTTATGATCCTTTCTTTCTTAACTTGGACTCTCATTTCCTGGCTCTGCTCCTTCTCTCTCTTTGTTTGCCCTGGTTAAAGAAAATAGAACAAAAATGTGTACATCCTGAGATTTTACACGAAGGGCATTGGGTTGGGGACACAACACTATTACTGTACAATATCTGTTTATAAGCACACAGAACATAAATGTCACCATAAAGAAAATTCTGTGTGTATGACGTGTTATGGCCCCTGTACCTTCAAAGGACAGCATTCAATGCCTTATACATTTGACAAACTCATGGCTTCCATAAAATGGGTCTGTTTAACTGATTATCATAATTATTGCTTTTTGTGACATATCTACTGAATGCAAATGCTATAGGTTAGAGCTACAGAGCAAAACGGCTCGGTTATTGGCGTGTGTTTCCGTACCAGCTCATGTTCTCTCATGGATAGAAACAGTAAATGTAGGTAGTTACAACAAAATCTTACGCCTCGGATTTCATTCGTCCAGGAAGGGTCCGCATCTGGGTGAGCTGCTGCTGTGTGCTCTGAGCTACACCAGGTATCACTGCGTTTCAACACCTCGGTCCACAGGCTGGTGGGAGGAGACTGTGAGCATGCCTGTCCCCTTTATGCGGTAAAGGGAAGGTTATGCTGTTCAGTTTAGCTAATCATGGAAAGCGCAGACTTTATGTTAGCCCAGTCCTGGTCTTGTACCCCAGTCCAATCCCAGTTTGACCAGGTCTCATTGAACTTCATGGCTTTCCTCTGTCCTCCCTCTCCTCCCTCTTATTAGTCTGTAAGGCATTTCAACTCTATGGAGGGATGGTTGGTTTAAAAGTCAGCAAGTTGACTAGATAGCAAAGCTATCCTAAACTCTTCTCTTCATTTGTCTGTCAGGACTTGATATCGTCTTTCAGCGAAACAGTGGAAGTCCTCATTTGAATCATATACTTTTCCTCCATTTCCACTCATTTCTAGTTTGGATACACAGCCACTGTGTTAGAGTGCGATTAGCAACCACAGTGTGTTAACACAAACAGACAGGCTCATCTTTTAAACAGGTACCGGGCCATTCTTGGTATGGGAATCTAGGGCTTTGAGGCTGCTCACGATCTTCTTTTGCGGTCCCACAATAGCCACTCCAACCTTTTTCAGATCCCTGGTTTGTGAAAGAGAGTGACAGAGACGGAGTAAGAAGAGGGGAGAGGTTGAAAATGAGACACAATCAGGAAGAGAGACATGACAGAGGGAAACACAGGGAGAGAAGAACAAAAAGTGTGTATTAGTGACTGAGGATGTGACACTCGTGACCTTAAATGACATGGTCCCAGTGCTGCTCCCTTCACTTTCACCTGCAGTTGTCATTCCCACAGCATGTGCGTGTGTGTGTGTGTGTGGGGGGGGGGTAAACTGATAGCTTCTATTATGACCCTTTCAGTGAAGGAAACAATGGCATGTGAGGGCCACAGCAGCAAAAAAAAAAGCTTTTCCTGCATTTTACTGAACTGAATTTCTTTTAAGAATGTACAAGTATATAGGCATATAAGTATGTACAGAGGAGCAGCATGGGATCATGATCATGTGTAGGATATAGCACTGATTCAGACATATCTGCTAACTTGTTAAAATCTCTTAAAAGATTAGTTACTGTACATGCATGCATCCAAGTGTAAGAACACACCATTTGTGTGACTATTTAAAAATATTTTGAGCTACAGTGTCAGTGTAACATGTACTATGCATCATACACTTACTGTAAAGACAGAGAGTAGTTAGTTAATTAAATTATCAAGCCCCTTTTGAAACATACAGTAAAAGCAACCTCAAAACACATAATATGTACAGAGATATACAGAGAGCATTGCTGATGTTATAGTACAAAAGAAATCACAGCACATATTAAGAGTCCTGTCTGTGCCTGTTACAATGACATTGTATTAGTAGAAGCAGAGGAGTTACAGTTGGAGTGGTGGCATTTCTACAACACATTTAGCTCTACAGACATTGTATGTGTTAGAAAAAAAATCAGACTTTTATTACTTGCAAGCAGATGATTTAGTTCACAAGAGCAGCCAAAACAGCAGACATTTAGAAATGTCTTGACCGTCCAGAAAATCACAGACTTGTGGTTCGCTTTGTGCTACTATATAAAGGGATAGTTAATTCACATCAAATACAGCCTTAAATGTAAATCACACTACATTTTGCAATAAACAAAATAAAGTTGTTGTTTTTTTATCTGTTACAAAAACAAACAACCCCAGTATACCAGACTGACAATGGCTAGATCTCCACAGTAACACTAACAGCCTATAGTAAACTGACTACCTGTAGTGTAATATTCTCAGAATTAGTAAAAATAAAACATGTAACTGCCACAGTCTTTACAGAATCATCACTAAACCTCCTGGAAACATATACGGGTACATACTGACATACTGTATATGGGTAGTACCCTGTCAGGCTAATTTGTATTATCAGACAATGTCCAAGCATATCCAGCATGCAGTGACATGGAAACATAGCTATTGAGTTATCCTTGAATATAACTATCCCTTTAATAGTCAGACAAGTGAAAGCCCATCTGTGGTTCTGGATGTAGGTTACTGTTCCCAGGCATGAGGCCTAGGCCCTTGCCCTCCACCCACCATCCAGAGACTGAGGAGGCAGAGAGGAACTGGGCGTTAGAGAGTGGTGATCCCCATGGACGGCTCCCATTCTGGGCAAGTGGCTGGTGTGACGTGGACCTCCGTCAGAACCACTCTTCTGAGGCAACATTAACACATTACACTAGACGTCATCAACATGTGCGTTCTAGAGGATGGTATTTAGCAGAAACTTTTTGTTGAAATAAGTCAGGTTAAACTGTTTGGCCTTAACTGTACTCTTCTAGGTACCGTGGCACTCCTGTGGTTGAAGACAGTAATTAGCAGTCATTTTATGACTTTTATGAATATACAGAAAATCCTATATTTATTAGTCATTAGTGGACAGTCAGTGCCAAAAAGAATACATCTCAGCCAAAATCTACCAAACCAAAGCCAAGAAATAACTTAAAAGCAGCAATAAATATGGATTCTGCAAACAGTTGATTTTTCTTTGTTGCTTAACAAGACAGAGGCTAATATACTAGTATATTATTAAGACCCTATGCGTTTGGATATAACAGTTAATCATTCAAAGACTTTAAATCCTGTTTTCTTAAACTATTCAGTGGGATCAGAAAGAACAGGGAGCCTTCTGGCCATAGGCTGCCCAACGGTGCGATGACTTCTGAAAACCAAACACAACACAACATCAAATGACAACACAGTGATGTTAAATTTAAAAGGGCGATGAACTTAAAAAAAAAATCACGTGCATTAACAATGTTCTTGTGTTGTTCTGTTAAGAGTCAAAGCAGATTTATGTTATACGCTTCTAAGCCACCAAACTCCCCTCAGGTAAATGTGCTCTTTCCCCATCTTGATCAAACAGACCAGTTTTTTATGTTAGAAAGCTTCACAAATCATGTCAAGACCAACACATGAGAAAGATTAACAGTTAAAACCTCTGCAGGCTGCTTTTATTTTCCCTCCAGTTTAGTAAAAAGTCAGTTCAAGTGAAACTGTTTCATAAACAGAAGCCAATCGTCTACTGTATAACCACTGTGTTTCATTTGATGGTATTGTTTTTACGCCTGTTCCATGTTGATTGGGTCTGCCCTGATTCTCAAAGGGGTGTGTATGCTCTGAATGTATTCTCCTATACTACATTTGGTTGTACAAGAGAATGTCAATGTCAGATTGCTTTTATTTATCTAGCAGTTTAGGCCAATCAAAAACCTGCACTCTGCACTGTCCAGATGAAGAAAACAATCCAAAGGATGCAATATTTCCTGGTCAGTTCATCCTTTCTCATCTTGAAAAAGGACTTCAATTACTTCACTAGATGAGTCAGCATTCTGCAGCCAAGTACGATCACTGCTCTTCAGAGGTCAGAGCTTTGCCGAGCCCTGTGCTGAATATCATGGACTAGATTAAGACTGTACAAATCAATAGAGCAATCTATATTGAGCAGTGCATAGTCTCAGCCAATGCGACTAGCTGAGCTAGCCGTGGGCGCCTCAGCCTTCAGTGGATTACTACTTCAGTGATCCACTTTACCATTTGGAACAGCTGCAGATACAGCATTATAGACCAATAGGATTTCTCCAGTGTGAGATTACTCCATTGCAGTTTATCTGTGAAGTGTTTTATCAGTTCCTCTTGAGGATTTCCATCTATTCTGCAGAGTGAGGGTTATTGTTTGTTTTGTGGCACACTGACTGAAGAGAACCTTTCACTAATTAAACATATTCACTGATTAAGTAGCATAAGAAATGTCTGGAGAAAAAAAAAATCTTTTGTACAGCACCCCTAAGAGAGGAGACAGAGGAATCAGCACCGCTAATGCTAGAATTAAAAAAAAAAAAGCCTCCTCCACAGCAGTGCACAAGTATTCTTTAGAGAAACATGCACTTTGCCTCATTTTCCTTTGGTGTTTTTGGTATAAAGCTTCATTTGGCACTTTCCTGAGAGCAGCTCTTTAAAAAAAAATCAAGAAATTATGTTCTAGCACATTTCAGTTAGACATCATTGCAATTTACTAATGGAGGCCGCCTTTGGCAAAGATTTAAAATCCTCTCTTCCCCTTGGTAATTTTAAAGACCATTAAAGTCCACAGTTCATCATTGTTTAAAAGGACATTACACATTGCTTCTTTCTAATACATTCAGCCCAACCCTGTTAACCCCGAGTATCAGTTTGGTAAGGAGTTATCAGATGGCTGCAGCACCACTCCACCAACTGACATCACCACAGTGAAAGGCTGCTTTGATCACAGTTACTAGAAATGTCCAATTATTTACCAAGTTACAATTTCACATCAGTTAAACCAGCACAAGCTAACAGAGCAAAAGCAGTGGGGCCACAAGAGAGAGAATTTCTGTAGCTTCTATTGACAATAAAAACAACAAAAAGATTTAAAACTAGGCACCTGTCTTAGTAGTAACTACACTCTGAACTGTAAGTCCAAAGGAGGTTTGTCCATCAGTATAATCTCCCAGTATATTATCACGGTCCTTTTAGACTGCCAGCACAGGACTGCAGCCAGAACCTGATCCACTATCTCAGAACATTCTGTCATCCTGTAGATCCCGTCAGCAGGGCCAGACCTGTAATCTCTGTGTCTGCTACTATCTCTTCTTTACCAAGGGACACTGATTCACTAAACCCTGGGATGTGACAAATACCCTGCACCTACATATCATTTCCCACCAAAACACCAGCTCAACCTCTAACAAAAAATATTTGTACAAATATTTGAGGAACTATCTCAGTTATATTCATCATTAATATTTTTCTTAACCAGGAAGTGCGAATGTGTCCTATGTTTAAAACCAGTGCTGCTGACTTTTACATTAGGAAACCAGACTTGCCTAAAGATAACCAAGAAAATTTAGTTGCCAGGAGCAGATTTTGTAGGAAAAACGAATCAAATACACTGACAGTGGACTTTTTAAAGATATATTCAGCATCTGTAACACCTATTTGTGCTGTCTTAAGACTTTTTAAAGATATATTCAGCATCTGGAACACCTATTTGCGCTGTATTAAAAAAGTGGTATTACATTTGCTATGAAAGTTGTACATGAACATACAGTAAGTGATCACATATTTGAGGTTGCTGAAATAATGACTTATCAGCTACTACTACTTACTGTATATGGTCAATGAGACACAGGTCATCATACCTGAATAGCTCCCGCAGTGTGAGCTCTCTAAATGTGATTTACCTAAATTTGACATGAAAATAGTTTTCTGACAATATTTGCTTGATCTTTGCTTTGCATTATCATGTTCCACAGATGGAGAGTGCTATGTCTTTGTATATGTATTTGACATCTAAGCCTATTATTTTCTCTTTCAAATGACTCTATCTCCAATCTTTTGGTTGCTCTCTTATTCCCTAAATGGATTGAATCTTCTCCTCTCTCCATCATTGTTTCTCGATTTATCTCTCTTTATTTCATGCGCTCACTGTCTCAGTCAGTGGTTGCTAAACTGAAAGTGTGTCATTATCATGAGTTATAATGACTTTCATCTGGACACCTTTAGCAATGGTTCCATAGCTGGTTTTACTTAAAACATCAGTGTGTGTGTGTGTGATCTTCACCAAGAGCCTCTTCAAATTCCTGGGCCTTGCCACAGATACAGGTTCCCTGTAAACACTGGTGACATGAATAGGCAGAGAAGCCTAACATGCATGCCTGCTGTTGTTGTCTTACTCTGTGGAGGTCTTGGCCAGGGTGTCACAGGAGCTGTAGCTGACCCCAGAAAAGGCCTCCTTACAGGGCAAGGTCCTCATTCCATCCATCCAGTCGCACATTGTCCCCATCGAGGGAACCTCTGAACTGCTTCGATCCAGCAACAAGTTGGCTGGCCTGGAGGGGGGAGAAGAAGGAGTTTCAGGAACACAAGTACATTAGCCCCCACAAGATCATCATCTGACAGTGTAATCTTATTATTACTACATCTGTCTTTTGCTTTTCACTCAACCAGCACTTTAGGAAGCGAAACATCGCTACAACATCGGAGTACAGAGTAGATATTTAGTCACTGATGTTGTCAAATGGATACTTTGATGGAAGCAGGGCTTACGGAATGCTATGAAAACACTAGCACCAGTAGCAGCAGTGTTTGCAGCAGTGTTGGCTGACTATTTACAATGAGCAGTGCAACAATATCAGTGGCAGAATAAAAGACTGTACAGAACATTGTCAGCAAATAAGCTTCCTTACTGCAAGGGTTGAGAGGTGTGAAAATAGCAGTGAAATTACAGGGAAACGATGTGTAATGGAAATAAACAATA